CAAAAACACAATCAAAAAGTAACATTTGTTTCCTCCTCAAAGTAATGTCAGAAAATGTTGTTTTGCTGTCAAATTCAGGCTAATAGGTGTTATCTTTTCAAAACTGCAGACTTCTTTTAAATTTGATGATGCCTTGCTGAGATAATCTCGATTATGTAAGGAAAATCGCGGTATTTTTATTACCTTAACTTGAACACATGCGAAACTAAACAAGGTTCTATTTTGTAATTTTTTTATTTTCCACCAACAAACAGCATTCTGAAATGGGTCAAATTAGTGAATGCTACAGAAGTCAATAAGATCACCACCCCGCACATTGCACATTCACTGAAGTAAATTGCACAAGTTAAGCTGAAATTGCTTCCTCTGAAACAGGAAAACTCAACTCAGTCAACTCTGAAATTGCGTAATTAACAACTACAGAAGCACCAGTTACATCCAGTTAAGAGCTAGGAAGAAATTTGAAAGAGGTAAGGAATCCAAACAGTTATGTGATATTATTTAGAATTTTCATTTCCTTTGTACTACATGATTTACTTGCAAGGTGACTGTAGAAAAATTCCATAAGCCGTCTCCTGACGACGGACAGAGCATACTATTCGAAACGTTGAGTATCCCCCAGAGGTGGCAGCCAGTCATTTTTACAAGTCCAAGTCAAGTCACAAGTCATTTGGTCCAGTCACAAGTCAAATCAGAAGTCATTTGGTCACAGGGGGCAAGTCAATTCACAAGTCATTTGGTCACAGAGCAAGTCAAGTCAAGTCTCAAATCATTTGGTTTCAACACAAATCAAGTCACAAGTCTCTTTTTCCAAGTCCAAGTCAAGCTGCACATTATTTTGTCTAGCTGTAATAAGCAAAAAGACCAGTTGTCAACTTACACGTGCGTTATGAGTTTCGGACAGATGAAAACCTTTTCTCCAATCATTTCGACAATGCCTTCGTGATTCCCTTTTTGCTTGTGTTGTAATTACTATTCTTGCAGTTTATCACATATCTGTCGTATATTGGTCCTCTATTTATTTAATTAATGTACTTTGCAGGGTGGAAATGGGCGTTGAGATGAAATGATGGCATATTGAGGGCGCTGTTTATCCTAGTCACGCGTCAACGCAACGCAACGTAGCAGCATGATACGCATGCTGCCCTGATCGATTGGTGAAGTGGAAACCGCGCAAGCCCAAGTCTGTTTTTTTTAATAAACGTAAGGCATAAACTGAATTGCTTAATCAAAAATATATGGCGCCGGTCGATTAGCGTCTGACTTGGGTTGGTAACAAGTCATTTTTTGCAAGTCCAAGTCAAGTCACAAGTCACAAGTCATTTTTGGAAGTCAAAGTCAAGTCACAAGTCAAAGGTGATATTCACAAGTCAATTCACATGTCACAAAAATACCGACTCGAGTCCAGGTCGCATGAGTCAAGTCAGCAACTCTGCCATATTCCATCCATCACAGTACTGCTGATGGAGTGAGCCATAGAACTTGGACCGAGGCAGTTGTAATAATCAACATACCGTGTAATGGAGAAGTGGGTAGAATGAAAACCATGCTAGCTAAAGGCTTCAACTGCCACCCCCAAACTTAGGCTATATTGGAGAAAACAGTCAATTCGGAAAGACTTTCCAAATTTCTAAAGGTCAAGAAGGCTTCCCGTACACGTATCTGCCACGCAGTACAAAGGGCGCACTAAATTCTAATTAAGGTCAAGATAAAAAAGTTTCTTTCGCGAATATTTCTCTTATCGTTTGGAAATACGGAAATCGCTCACCGCCGGCTTGCACTCTAGCTAAAATGGACACCAAAATTCAGATAAAACATGGAATCTCAAAGAAAGATAGAAAATTGCTAAGTGCAATAGTATAAGTAGAAGAAGTAACGTGGCGTACTTTCATTTTACGCTTCTTGTCTCTTAACGGAGTAACAGTTTGAGCTCAAATGTCACAAGGCGAGCGCGGATCTGGAAATGGGGGCTCGACACCCCCCCCATTGGCGCCAAAGAAAGGTTAAGAATGGGAGAAATAACAGAAAATAACTAAAATAATTGCAACAATTCCATTGCAAACAATGTATGCTAGGTATAATGTTTCATCATCGTTTCGGCGTGCCAGCAAAAATGAGAAATTAAGAAATATCTCTCGCCTGAACCCCCCAGGACAATTCCTGGATCCACCCAGCAATAAGTGAAACTTCATCAAATTCCTAATGTTATGATCTACAAAGTTTGTGTGAAATTTTATTTTCGCCCGATTTTTCGATTTTTTTCTTGATGTACGAAATGAACACTTTTAAAAATGTGTCGAAAAATAAGAAAAAAATTTTTGGACTAACCTAAGGATGGGTATTGGAGCGGAGGTTATGATGCTTTACAAAAATTCATCAACTTCAAAGGATTTTGGAAATGTTTTAATGGGATATCTTGAGATTTTTTAAGTGCGCCACGTTGGGGAACACTCAACTGAAATCGATTCCAATTTCCGGACGCCGACAGTTTGTATTTCGAATGAAATATCATGAGACAGAAATTGTTTGCAAAGGTTCAACACCATGAAGGTAATGGTACCAGTTTATATTTATAACCAATGAGTTTTCGGGTTTTTCTAGGAAAGAGGTTTGGCAACACTGTGTGAGGAAAGTCAAGTGAACGTCTTCGTGTGCTTCGTCAGGGGACTTTACTCTCTGAAGTGCGGATAATTGTATAATTCATGAAGGTGTCGTTGGCTCGTTTGTATTTGTCAAACTAAAGTGACGCGGACGTCCAACATGACCGCCAACGCCAGCATCCATCTTAAAAAAAAAAGGAGTCTTTCGGGCAATTCAGAAGGGTGTGTTACTCGTTGTCCAATTGTTTTTTTACGTCAAAGTATTTTAAAGTTTAATTCGCGTCATTGTGTACTGTACATGAAAAAGTTTCCAACCCCAGATGTGGCTTCCCTGACGATCCCAGTCATGTTGTGTCATATATAATTAGTTGTTGGCAGTATACCTAACCTAAGATTTTATTGATGGGTGCATCAAGGTAAATAGCCCAAAAGTATGCCCACCGGGCTCATTAATAAAAGTCAGACACTCAAGATATTCTGTATTAGAGGGTCCTGACAGCCATGGATTTGAGGAATCGAAGAAATATAGCACTGGATCTCTGGCCTGGACTCGGGGCTTCCGACTCTTAGCAATTTGGATGCAATCGGGCCCGAAAGTGGCATTAGCCGTTTTGTAGTGGCCCACCAGGATGCTTTTTCAAAAACGCTACTTTTCACAGTTAGGGAAATATTCTTTGTTTTAGGGGTGGTCTGCTTTGGATGAGAATTTTTCAGAAGGTCCAGGGGAAAATGAAAGACGACATGTTGGTCATCATTTTTGTGTGCGGCGAAATGAACACTTGTGAGAGTTGTATTTTTAAAAGAATTTTGAAGTATAGGGGATTATCATTGGTATCTATGGGAATTCACTTGCTGGGGTGCACCCTTATAGAGTCGTCAGGAATATTCAAGTCAGCGAACCAGAAAATTTTATCCAGGGTTTTCGGTATCAATCTCACAGCGCGCGCGGCTAGTTGCCAGAGCGCGTGCCAATGAGCCGCGTAATACATCTTGTCAAAGTGTTAACAGCGCCCCCACAACATCAGCTGTTCAAGAGCCAAACAAGGCTGTCAGAGCAGAGCATAGTACCTGGACAAGCGTGCAAACTCTGTCGAGACATGGGCAAATGGCTAAAACTATGCAGAGAAAAAAAATCATAATAATTATAAATAAGGATGACCCAAAAAACGCAACCCAAAAGTCACATTTATCTTCTCCAAAAGTAATTTTTTTTGTTTGTTTTTGCCCAAAGAAAGTAACGCAAAGGTATAGTGAAGTAATTCAATTGATAATTTCTGTGCAGCTGTTTCGCATGAAAAGTGCCCCCACGGTTTCGTTTGAGAGAGGAGATTGTTTGGCCCCGAGCAATGATATCGTTAGATTATTCGTCAGGATCACAACCTTTGGGTCAGGCGCCTTCTGTGCAATGGCAAAATTGTTTAATTCAATGTTGAAAAATTGTCTCTAGAGACAGCAAGCAGTCCAGCTAAATAATTAGTATAGAGCTGTAAAACTTGGAATTGCTTTCCGTTCAGATTTTGATGTTTTCATATATTGAATTAGAAGACTCTCACTAGTCTCGAACTGAATTTATTTTTAAAATCACGATTTCATTTCCAAGAAAAGCTTTGATTTTAGTTAAATGTGATTGGGTTTCTTTCATATCTGCCCTTTACCCTTCCTACACCAATTTTGGATCAGTTTGAAGTTAAGTGAGAGTCAATAAAAACTGCTTTCAGGACAAAGTTCCCCTGTCATCCTTCTCACAATATGATGTGTAGATCAAGATGAGGTAACCCGATGCTCCAGGTGTGCCCTGCAATCTCATTTGTCGTAATGCACGGCTGAGGCACTCGAGAAGTAAGCAATCCTGTCCAGTCTTCCTTTGTCCATCCTGTAAACTCCAGATATGACTTAAAATGTTCACTACTTTGCTTATCTCTCTCCGAAGCTTAAGTCGGTAATTTTACTTTAGGTTTGGATTCTTTGATTTTCAAACCTGATGTTAATTCTGTAGCCCTGTCAGTTGCGGAAAGTCACAGAATAATTGCAATAAAATGAAACGTAGGGAAATGAGCTTTAATTTGATTTGTGTCCTGAGCACCTAAACACTTGCCTTTACATATATCCTGACTTCATTTTTTGTTTTGATTTGTTTTGCAACGGGGATATTTATTGCATTTTGCAACCTAAGGGTGCATTCCACATGTGAAAAAACGGAGGCCAACCTCTTCATGAGACTTAACAGGCGGCGCTATTTCGCTCTATCCGATTTTGCACTGTTTTCTATGGGCGCGTACTTGGTGTAGTGAAACCCTAACCCGCGTCAAACGAAAACAATTGAGGGCGTTTTTGCTAGGAAGTTGTCGTGAATGGCACCCAGACTTCCTTCTGTACGCAACTTATACTTCATTTGTCAGTGAAACTGGTTAGTACTCCACATGCGTGTTTTGTATGGGTGCTCGGCCGTAAAGCTGTACAGCGCGGGTAAATCCTGTTTTTGAAGGTAGGTCTATTACTGAAAACGTGATGTACTAGCAATTTGTACGTAAGGACCCTGCCTCCATATAGATGTGTAGCCTAAACCTCCACAATTTGGGCACAATTGCAGAATACGCCGCCACCACCTCTCCCACGTCGTAGCCGGCTACGATCGCTCACACACAAAACCGCTCACATATTTAATATGCCAGGCCGTCACCTACGTGACCTCATCGTCATACTTCACTTTATTTCCACGTAAGGGTGGAGAGGAGTCCCCAGAAAGCAATGCCTGTGGAGTGGGGACTCCCACTTACATACCAATACATACAAATAGACATTACATTGGCATACATATCCATACTAATATTTATAAGACAATATTTAGAAATAAAACAAGAGATAAATATGGCCTGTAATACTAATAAAAGTAATAGGCCACAAAATGCCCATTTTAAAACTGCCCGTGTTCGAATTATCTGTTTTTGAATGGGCGGCTGAACTCGAGCTTTTAGAGAAGTTCTCTGATCAGACTTGTTCCTGTGTTCATGGATTGGGAGGATTCTTTAGAAGGGAAATTAAGTTCGCCCATAAGATTTACTTCTGTGTTTGTGGCTTGGGAGAATTTTTTACAAGAGAAATTAAGTTCGCCGATATTTGTGGCTTGGGAGGATAAGGAAAAGGAAGAAAAGTTTGCTCATCAGACTTGCTCCTGTATTTGTTGCTCAGGAGAATATTGTTCATCATGCACACACTGACCGATCTTAACATTTGAAATCATTACAAAACCTTATGAGTTATGATAAATCTATACGTAATAACTAAACATACATAGATACCAGGACTATAATTGGATGTAACTGGCAAAGGGAAAGTTATTATTATTATTCATGTTTTGACCGTAACTTTCAATCTGACACCATTAGTTACAAAGGTATGAATGGTCACTTGATAACATTCATTTGGCAGTGTTGATCCTCTGCTGTTCTTACTTTGAAGCTTCACATTGTATACACAACACGGCTGTCAGTGATTTCCGTGAGACACTCTGGTATATTATTTGTCTTCTGGCAGTAGAGTGTACACATAATGTACATGTACGCCTGGAATTTGAATCTGTGAAGCCTTAAAAACATGTACACAACATGTCTTCAATCGTTCAGAGAAATATGGAAGGGCTGCGTAGCACCGTGATCAGAATATTGACAAGAATATAATATAAAATCAGTGCGCGGGAATAGTGATTGCCAAGCTTTTGGTAACTGAGTACCTTCTGCAGGGCAAGCAGATTCAGGCCACAGTAGTACTAGTAGTGAGTAGGAGCTATTGGCACCTTGAGGAGTTAAGTCGTGGGGAGTATGACCTTTGAACTAAGGTGTGTGAAGTAACAGCAGGGGAATCCTGGAAGCGTACTGCATATTTGAGTATGAGTGGAACGGACAAGGTGATTGGGTAAAATTGAATGGAGTTATTTGATTGGGTGTCTCACGTCATATGACTGATCATGCAAAAAAGCAGCAAACTCGTTCAAATTCTCTAAGAGTCAGTCAGTAATCCCACATCCGGACATGAATACAAACGTGGCGTGAATCTGCTTGCCCTGAAGAAGGTACTCAGAGAAAGCTTGGCAGTCACATATTCCAGAGCTCTGATATTATATTATATTCTTGTCAATGTCTTCAATTGTTACTTGTCTTCTGGCAGTAGGGTGTACACATAACTTACGGTACACCTGGAATTTGAATCTCTGAAGCCTTACAAACACAAATACATTATACACACAACATGAATTCTTCTGTTTGGACATAACGTGAGAACATGGAAAACAGACAATTCATCACATAAACATGATAAATGGAAATAGATTTTCAAGATGAATTTTTGTGTTGGGGAGATGTTAATTTACATAACAGGATTTGCCCTTACCCAACGTATATATTAATAAACACTGTATGCTCAGTGCTTGTCCGAGAGCTTGCGAAAAAAGTCACAAGCTTACTTGGATGGGACTCGAACCCACTACTTCCTGCTTACTAGTGCAGCAAAAAAAAAAAAATCTTGAAAATAGTTCGCGGTACCCGCTGCTTCACCTGACTCGGACCGGCCAGCCGACCCCGGCAAGCTCGGTGGTTGAGTGGTTAAGACGTCTACACTAGTAAGCAGGAGGTTTTGGGTTCGAGTCCCACCCGAGTAAGCTAGTGACTTTTTCGCAAGCTCTCGGACAAACATTCAGCATACAGTGTTTATTAATATACATGTACATGTATATGTTGGGAAAGGGCAAAACCTGTTATGGAAATAGATTTGTCGAGTTCACATCAATAGCTATTAAGGTCATACATTAAGGTCATGGTCAATCGATACATTCACTCTGGACTATTTCTTATTGATACTGTACACTGTTTTGGTTTCTGATAGGAGACTGGAACTTTGCATACAAAAGTCATTCTGTTATTGACAAATGAAAATGTCTTACCACACCCGCAATTCCACAATCAATGTACACAAGCATGTTTTATACCTGTTCTTTTGGCCAATAGTTTCGTCGGATTGTACAACCTGGCCGCATCATGTACAAATGACATGAAGATGTCCTTCCCTTTGGTTTTGTAACGATACAAGAATTCACCTAAATACAACGAGTAATGGTACATGTACCCACCAGTTTGTTTATTAAATGATTACCATGCATTGCAAAAACGACAATATTTCCAGGTTACGTCCTTTATAATTCTTTTCTTTTAACTGTCGCTGCTCCCTATTCACATTGTATTAAACCTTACCTTGGTTTTGACAGTTTTTTCAAACCATCACCATTCATTCAGTGTGACATTGTTCTTAATTAAAAATTAAAACCATTTACTCATTGTTGCATCACTTTAAAACAGACACCTTGCCAACATCGTAGCTGGCTACAGAATACTTGGTTGGACTTGGAATTTTTACACCCTCCCCATTCCTTCACCGTTGCCTTATCTTGCCTCTGTCTTCTATACTCATGTATAGGTTGGAACATGGCCTATGTGTTGCTGGAACAACGTCACGTTTATTGATTTTTATTTCGCACGGAGGAATAAGGCACATTGTCACTGAGAAGTGCTATAATTCAGTAGAGGACGGTTTTAAATCTTCCAAGTTCCATGTCTCATGTGGGACCAGGACACAGGATTTGTCTTGTTTGAGCCTTCAATGAATACAACTTGACAAACTTACAAGCTATTAAACAACTTGAAAACTATTGTGTAGATTGCTGTAGGCTGACCTTGAACATTTTGGCCCATAAATGGACAGTGGATCATTTTTTTGAAAATTTGGCCCCATATGTATAGACTTTGGTTCATCTTTCACCATTTAGTGCAGTTTTTCTGTGAGGCAATTAAATTTGGTGTATATAAAGGGTGCACTGCCCAATTCACAGGAAATTCTTCACCAGGCTGAGGTGCTCAAAAAGTACTCCTACAGTTTATATGTGGCCCAAGAAATTGTGGGATTGTGGAAGAATGGCCCAGAATGAACTCCCTAGATTCAAGGGCTCCCATCCCAGGGCAAAGCAGAGAAAAATGCCACTGAAAAATTGTCCCAAGAGCCTGAACAAGTGGAGGGATGTCATTTGAAAAATGACCGCTGACAGACTTGGGAACGTTCACTTTTTGAGGGGTGAGTTTGCTTTTGGTGGATAATTAAAAATTTCATTGGTTAACCTACTAAAAATTGAAAATCAATTGAAAGCTGAATGATCCCAGAACACTTTGTTTTTTTGTTTGAGAGGCCTTAGGGACTTCCGTTGCCTGCACCGAGGCTGCAAACGTTTTTTACATTATCTTTGATGAATTACATGTAGTTCAGTGCACCCTGTATGTATTTCAAAATGGCGGCTTCCATGGGGGCTTGGCAGCTGAGATTTAAAAATGGTTTCTGCTGTTTACATTAATCTTAACTAATATTTGATCCGTTCAATATGGATGAAGACGATATTGAAAT